GGTAATTCGAACATGTTATGGTGGAGAACTGGATAGATGGAGTCAAGGGGCTGTAAAATTATGTATAAGGGATTTCAATTAGTTAGGGGTCAGGATTGCGGATGTGTATCACTAACGATCAATACTCTTGCTATCAATCAAATAGACGATCCCTTTCTTATACATATATTTCTCCGTGATAAAAAATGTGACGTGCATCGTCAAAACACCCATCACCACTAATGTACATCAACGAAAACACATGTACAAACCATCAGAAGTTCTATTAAAACAATATAATTGAATTGCTAGCAAATATAGTACTAGACACCATCATGATTGCCCACATAACGTCGGCATTCTTCCAATCGTGCAATTCCACTTCGTTGACACCACTACAAACATTGACATGAGAAAACTCGTACTTGTTGCGAAATGATCCTTCGGCATGGCAGCATATCTATGTTTGAAAACCTTTCTGCGATCCGTTCAGTGACGGATGCGGTCCTGGAGCAGGCTTTAAGAATGCAAGGCTGTCTGTCACTGACAAATCTAGATGGTGGAACGCTCGTCCCAATACTGACAATAGTACATATATCATCAAATTAATATGTCGTTTCGGCTTTTCTAATGGGCTGAAAGATCGATTTATCATCTCACAAGGGTCAAGGCACCGTAGTGTCCTTGCCTCTTGTCAAAACGGAAAGCCCCCAAAATAAAAAAAACATAAGCACGGCCAGTAGGCTTCCGAGACTGCAGCCCCCAGGGATCAGTCACAGCAACAAAAACAGTGGTTTCGCAAGACACACTCATTAAGCTTAATCGAGACAAAGTTCATATTGCAGTTAGGGCTGTGATCAAAATAAGCTACCTTGAGGTTCACAAAATTGATTACATTTCCGCGAACCGGGGGAATTGGAGAACACACAGAAGGGTTGACAGAGAGCCAGAAAAATGGTAAAGAACGATTCTGAAGGAAAAGCTATGTAACTAGACGATTGACTTTTCAATTCTCTTGCTTCTCCTGTTCATTCGTACGTAAAAGCCTACGCACCCCAAGATGACGGCCAAAAATAATCCCTTCTGCATAAGAGTGTACCCAGCCTCATCAGCATAGCCAAAATCCTCTGTCTCTGTCTGTGGAGTGCCAACAACTGGAATGACGGCGGCGGGAGCAGCAGGTGTGGAAGGATCGATTGGTGCGAGTGGAACTTCGACCTCTTCCATACCGGATTGAAATTCAGCAATACCGTATTCATCTACATCACGTAATACAGACGAATCAGTAAGTCCTCCCAATCATGCTCGCAGGCCCGTAGAAGGAGACTACTCTAGAGTTCTACGTGGATACCTTCTTCTGGTACTGGTAATTCCCCACTCTCAGTGATCTTGACGGCCTCGACGGGTCTGTCTGATGCTCCCTTCTTTACGTTCTCAATGGCGGCGATGATCTCATAACCCTCCATGACTTCGCCGAAGACGACGTGTTTACCGTCAAGATGGCTACAAACGGGTTAGAACGAGACATATTCCAAATTGAGGACTTTGAAAGGTTAACTTACCCTGGAGTAGATGTGGTAATGAAAAATTGGGAGCCATTGGTATCCTTCCCAGCGTTGGCCATGCTGAGGAGACCTTTCTTGGAGTGCTTCAACTTGAAGTTCTCGTCTGGGAACTTAGCTCCGTAGACTATCAATGATTAGCACCCCGCATATCGCTCGCAGATCCGGTAACCTACTTGATTTGCCTCCAGTACCATCGCCCTTTGTGAAATCACCTCCTTGGATCATAAAGCCTTTGATAACACGGTGGAAGCTGGAGTCTTGGAATCCGAAACCCTTCTCGCCAGTTGCCAAAGCTCTGAAGTTCTCTGCAGTCTTAGGAACGGTTTTGCCATAAAGACCTAAAACAACACGGCCCATAGATTCATCGCCATGAGTGATATCGAAATAGACCTTGTGGGTGATCTTTGGACCTTTGACAGCTTCCGCCGTCTGGGCAAAGAAGAGGAAGGTAACGGTAAGGATAAGTAGTGCAGAGACTACTAAACGTTGAAAAGTAAACATCTTGGAAGTCAATTGGATTTTGTTGTTGTTACTGTAGAGGGTATTGTTGTTACCCCAAGAAGACTTTAGAAGTGATGTTGTGTTGTCCAAAGGAAGGAGGGAGGTGGATGGATGGATGGATAAATGAGTGGATGTGTTTCGGAAAGGTGTCGATTACGATTGCGATTATGCTTAGCTAATAGCGCTTCTTAGTGGCACGTGCGAGCCTCGGATTAATAATATTATAACTGCAACTATAAGGTCCGTGCATCACAGTATCAAATCTTGTCAAGTTGTCAGCATTCACAACTTCATAATAAATAGATTTTAAGGACGCCCAGAGACATTGAAGGAAGGCAAGGCATATAATATCCTCACCACCTGTACCATTGAAAGTCGTTCAAGATGGTACGTCTGCGCAGATTACTTCTCTCTGCTGGAATACTGACGTTGCATACAGGTTTTTCTCCAAGGGGTCCCGTTTGTCGAGAGACGTTTGGTGAAGGTAAGCCCTTAGAGCTTCGATATCTTTGGTTCGCACACTTATGCCATGTAGTCAGCTCTGGAGTCATTCTATGGCCTAGGGGGCCAATCTTCCAGTCGCATTATGGCCAAATATTACATTCAACCCATGGCGACTATTGGTTCTTTGACAACGAAAACAGTCTTATCTCTGTCGGCTGAGCTTTCTACTATGCCTCTAGATGAGCAATTAAAACGAAGACTTCAGGATAATCTCTTAAGATTGAGGACGATGGGTACTTATCGGGGAAGGAGGCATGCTATGGGTCTGCCAGTAAGAGGTCAGAACACAAGAAGTCAGGTATATACACTTTCAATGCGGGGTATTCAAGGCTACGGATGCTAATTCATGATAGATATCATCGGCTAGAGCTCTCAACAAAGTGAACAGGAGAGGTTGAGTTATTTACATTAGGAATATTTGTACAAATAGTATTGCATTACGGGCGCATCTACACGGATGGGGAGGCTGCACGAATGGTGATGACGAAATCAATAAATTTGATCATGGTTCAGTCTTAAGGAGTAAGGTCTCAAACGATTAGGAGAAATACATTGTATATCACCAACAAACAACACCAAATCACCTACAAATATAGGTACGATCACGCCACTATCAGAGGCTCCATAACTTGCAAACTGAAGAATGATATTTAAAAACTTTGGAGCAGTTACCACATGTCCTTGAATCTAGTATCAATGGTTCTCTCTAGCCCGGTCATGGTTACCCATTTTTAATCATATTTCCGGTCCTCCACAATGGAAAGCATACAATTCGCGATCATTTCCAACGGGTGCTTCTTGCCACAGTTTTTCCGATACTCAGACCTTTCTTATTTGCAGCTAAGAGCCAAAATCTTCATCCATAAAATCATTCTCAAGTACCTGTCGTGGCTCAAGCAGATTTTTGTCCCACGAGGTAAATGAATTCAACTGATTATGGCCCATAATTTGTTCCATTCCTAGAACATTCCCCATTTTGACGGCATTGTTGGACATGTTTTGTCGTATTTTCTGGGTTGCACTAGTAATCAGGTTAGCCAAAATTCAACCCAACGGACATGGCGATATTCCTTACCCATTAAAGTTGCCTCCGCTCGTCTTCGAGTAGTGCATTGGTGAATTGATATGCATTGTATTCTGGGGGATAACACATGTGCCTGCGTGTCCCATATTCATATCCATACATAAGTTAGGTACAAGACCCTCAAAGTTCCTGAAATCGCGGTTCATTGGAGGACTAGAGAGTCCAAGGCCTGTGTTTCCAATTCCCTGATTTGAGTTAAAGGTAGCTGACGGTGCGTCGTCCCAGTGCAAATGTGAAGTACTAGCACCTTGATTCGAATTGTGATTTGAATTGGGCATAGATGGCGATCTGTTGGTGTTGGCAGAAGTAAATGTTGGTAAGATCGAGCGGTCGGATCTATAAGATTCTCCGGAATATTCAAGGGCGCCGCGACATAAGTCATTCCCCAAAGTGCCAGGCGAAGATGCTGGGCCAGGTGTAAAAACTTCATATTCAGTAGACACTGGATTCTGTTTCGGCTTCTCGCTGCCTACTGCTTGTCGCTTTTGTTGTCTGGCGATCAGGGTTTCTGCTGAAGGCTTTGTGTATCGTCGCTTCTTAGGTGGTGCACAACTCGAAGCTTTTTCGATGGCGGGAGAAGATCGAAGTGCCGAGTTCTGAATTGGCGGGAGAAGTGGCTCAAAAGCTCCTTGTTTTTGGAGCCGTGGTATAGCAACCTTTCGAACCGGCGGGGGCATTGGCTGAAAATATCCATTTCGCTTATTGGCAGAACTTTGAAGTGCTAGACTCGGATTAGGTGAGGGTACAAATCCTTGCTGTTCTAGTCGAGGTGTAGATGGCATAGTTGCCGCAGACTGCTGTATTATTGACGCTCCACGTTGGCTACCACCATTATTCAAAAATCTCTGGTCAAACCCGCCAAGTGGATTGAAGTGTGAGGCAAATCCTGGTTCTCCGGCATCGTTCCAACTTGACGGCATTCCAACTGCGATCTGGTCTTCATTGAAGGACGTTATGGTGGATGGGCCACTGAACTTGGAAGAAGCAATGGACGGACTTTGGTATTCTGTGAAAGACAACGCTGGAGTCGGTGGAGCCTCATGCGTGTCAAATTGCGAAGGCCTTATTCCGGTTGGCGACAATGGTGATGGCATCGAGAACGGTCTTGTCCCTTGATTGAGTGTTGTCATATCCGCCAGTGTCCACCATATCTGGCACTGCGTGTCGACTTCAAGAAGAGATCCTGAGTAGAACTCTGCACACTTTGTCAGTTCGTTCTCTTGATATTCGCTTTGTCTAATACTCACCCTTGATGCATTTCCATGGCAGACCGCTTCGATCATGGTCCTCGATCCAAGTAGTGATATCGTGTGTGTAGCGGACGAGCAATTTCAGCATTTCGACAAACTCCAAGTCACTAGGTATCCTGGCTAAATTGATACATGCGTTAGCACTCGTCTCTCTCTTCGTAACCTTATCTCACAAACCTCTAGGATCAATCCATGCACCTCCCACCTTTATAGTGAAGATTTTGTGAATGATAGAGAGATAATTCATAAATATGTAGTTCAAATCCCTCGCCTTTTCGATCTCCGGGCGACCTTCGAGAAGCTCTCTTAGAACCGCTTCATTGTTTGCAATCGAGCTCAGAAGCTCGCCCCATACTTCCGCCAAGTTGAAGTTCATTATATGCGCTGATATGAGGCCGGCTCTGATGAGTTTGTCTGTAATAGAAGAATATTTGAAAGTTTGTCGAGCTCTCGATTCTAGATAATTTTGACTCGGCTAATTCTCAATCTCGCTACCAAATTCACTGAGTAGATGTCTCAATCATCCAGACAATACTGAGGGGAAATTCTGTTCTCTATTGTCAAGTTTGTATTGTCCAGACAAACAAAGTTCGCTGTATCTCTTTTTAGCTGCTTCAACCGTACATATTATTTTACTTGTATACGATTGTCATGAGGCAAATCGTACAGCCACAATCATTCTGTTCATTTGAAGTTATTGGACGGACAGCTAATTGGTTCAACGGTGAGGGGTAAATCTGTAAGTCTTGGCATCGTATTCATTCTGATCCTCTTTTATTTAATAATACACAAGGTAAATGCATTTAATTGAGCTCACTCCTATGATCGATATCATTGCTTGTCAGATGGAACAAGGTATTATTGTTATCATGGGAACTTCCTTGCATTTTAATCTTCAGAAACTACGAATAATGTGAGCAACGAAAGAATCATCATTGTCAGTAGCACAGATCAGTTGACTCACCCTCTCCCGCTCATCGAATCTATCAGCAATGAAGTAGAACCGCTACTATTTTTGTCAAAGGTTTCTTGGAAGGCTGATGGCTACCATTTAAGCCAATGCCTATCTTACTTTCAGGTCATTTGATGCAGACTGAAAGTTATTCACTAGATATAAACTATGCTTCCCATCATCTGTATGAGGAAGTTGTGGCTTCTCCCATTCAAAGGAATTGTAAGCGGTGAATTGGAGTGATATTCGAGGTTCTGCAAGTAAAGTCTCGAAGAGAAGGCTAGAGACAATAAAAAAGAAGAATCAATCATTAGTGAGGAGCTATCCCCTTCCCAGGCACTTCATTGGTAAAATGGTGAAATTTAACAATAGAATGGCATGTTATTTCTCCTGAAAATAGCACCTGTGCGCGTGTCAACCTTTATTTGGCTCCCATCTGAATCTCTGAGTAACTGCGAAAAGCACTGTATTGTCTAATAATTTTTCGGCCATACGAGCTTACGTGGAAAGTTTCGAGAATACAGGATCATGGGGTACTCGAGCTTTAGCCGCAAGAATTTGACGGGTTCATGGGGCACACATATAGCTACCAGTATGGGGAGAGTTTCGATTATCTCGAAATCTGAAATTAAATGACTTAGATCTTCTCATACTAGAGTTCAAGTGCTGTGAAGACTTCAGAGCGCACTGTTAATCAATGTCTGTACGATATGCTTTCTCAATCAGAAAACAATTGATGTTGTGTGATTAGATTAGTTGTTATGGATGTGGAGTTACCTGTCTAAAAGAAAATACTCCATCAATTTAGAGAAACTAGACCCACTGTTGTCTACCCTTGGCATTTGTTAAGCGATGACAGCTAGAGAAACTTCACTCATCTACCTAAACAACCTAAACAGGTCTAAAGTAACAAATAATTTGTGCATTTTGCTACTTTTTTTATAAGGTACAATCGCTCAATGAAGTCATGAAAGAATTTCTATTATATCAGATATACAGGGCACTTTTTTTTAATAATACCTTCAATTTTTCCTCCCTATAGGCCAATCTACACCAAAGATTTGAAGAATTTTGAGAAGATACTTTGAATATCTCTGCTCCTTTGCAAATAACAAGACTACTCTGAAGAACATTGTAGAACCACTAACAATTAATATCAGACTTTTTGATCACTGTGAACTAATGTCATCAAATTTACTCCCTGAGCCTCCTCTATGGGTCTACTTTATGGCATGCGTCTTGTCTCTCTGGGGTACCAACGATTGTGACCACAACTCTTCAAGCAACAGTTCATAAATTTATAAATCTTTATGAACATCGATAGTATATATCATATCACAAGGCCTTAAGAGTGGTTCCCACCACTAGGATGTTTATTGGTAAATAATCACTATCTCATCTCAAAACTTTAAAGGATACTAATCTCCGATGCTCTTACCCATTTTCAATTTAATTGGTCATACCTCCTAATTTCTGAGCATTCACTTCTTTGCAAATTATACTTCGATATGCTTCCATTTTTACTTACTATACAACCTTTTGATGTTGCCTTGCTTTGGTTGATTGTAACATTTGTTTTGGATTTACACTAACCGTATAAATTAAGCATATACCTAGAAAAAACACTTCTTCATGGGCTTAAGATTCGAAGAAAGAATATCTTTCTCCAACAAAACAATTTCTTAAAACTCCGTCATCTAAAATTCGAGGAATCAAACCCCACAATATGTCAAATCCATTTGCCCGACCCAGCGAGTATTTCTCGTCCATGACTCGCCATGGCATCACTATCTGGGCCCACGATATTCTCAACGAACTTCAGAGGCTCCGTGCTCTTGATCCAAGTAACAAAGAGGCCTTGAGTAATTTGCTTGAAGTGCACAAGAATCTTCAGGAGTTCTACACCTGGGTCTCTCTACGTCCAAAGAATGCTTCAGATCAGGTCTCTCGTCCTCTTCAATCTGTTATTAGAGCGGAGGGAATTTTTGCTATTTCGCATAGACTCTGGGATAATCTTGAACGGGAACTACAACCGGAGGAGGACAATGCATTCATCGAGCAGATGATTCAACATCTTGGGTGGGTTTGGAATATCAAAACTAACTTAGACAATGAAATTCGCCATAGTCAGGGTAGGTCCTTTGAAGATCGTTTGCTTTTGAGTTATATACTAATCTCATTAACAGGACTTCCTCTCACTTCAACAATGGATACATTAGCAGAAGTCGCAAAGTATGCTGAATATAGAAACACCGATCGTGGAATTACCATCCAAAACCCAACAGCAATACCTCTTTCATCGGGCGGCCACTCTTTACGTGCTGTGGCACCCGCGACCAAAGAAAATCCAAGAAATATAGGTGGTCAATTTTCAGAATCCAGGAAAGAGCAAACACAAACCAACGCCAATATCATACTTCCACAGGCACCTTCCCTTTCAATCTCCTCTGTGCGAAACCCTAAAAGTGACCATCTAAAATCTCTCCGAGATTCCAAATCCATTCAAGAACAGTCTCAACCTTCGATGCGACCTGCTTTTTTCTCACTCACACAGTCACCTCAAATAAGCGCCAGTGTGCAGCACCAGTTATCCGTTTTCTGCGATGAGACATCACGCAAACTTATCAACCTTGTGGATGATGACAATAATAATGCTGTGGAAAACTCTAGCACCTTTCGCGTTCCCGTTAGTTCTCTCGTATCCACACCGCAGATTCGAGACAACAGACTTACAAATGGTTCACGAGGCTTTGCCGGCGGATTCAAGCACCCTATTAGTAGGGAGGCAGGTTTTAAGCCAACTTTTGACAATGGCAATGGTCATATATCACGCAACACCTCTCAACCTCAGCATCGAGGTTACGATAATTCTGATGGTGCCATGGAAACTATCAAACCAACAGATACTCCCTCCAACAGCGACACAAAGAAGAAAACTATCATCGGCAGCTCAAACAAAAACGCGATTATGATCTCAGATTCCCCCTCTCCAGAATTAATCATTATGTCTAATTACAATCCAAGATCCGAAAAATACAGCGAAACCCCAGTTCCACCTTCTATGTCTTCTATATCTTCCGAAGATTTCGAATTCTCTCCCTCTGCAGACATCTCTCGTACCCATAGCAGCGATACCGATCGACTGAGGCAATCTACCCCTTCCCCTCCTCCTCCTCCGAGTAACTCATGGACACCTATCAATGGCCTCAAGAACCAACAGAAAGCAATATCCAGAGAGCCAAGCCAAGTGAGAGGACGATCTTTGACTCGACGTTCTTTGACTAGACGTTCTGGCGAGCGTGAAGATAACAATATGGAAGAAATCAAGACGAAGAGACCAACTCCGACCAGTGGCAACCAAGACAATATCACAGACAATCCAAACCAGGAGACAAAATTGAGCATGAATCCCATAACTCCATTCTCTGATAATGTTCCCCCTATTCTAACCTTAACCAAGCAGGAGCGACCAAGCATCCCTGATAAAGCTACAACTTTGCTTCCTGTCCATGGATCTGCCGACAATAAACCCTCTCCTCCAAAAGCTAAGAGTGCTAAAGATATTTACCGTCCCTTTAGCATGCGAAAAGGCGCAAAGAAGAATGGATCAACATGAAAGTGAGAGTATGGGAGAAGAAAGTGTGAGGGGGGCCAACGAAGTCTAGTGTGCATATGCTAGATGATGAGACAGTGCGGTGGTATCTAAATTCATCTACATATAATGAATGGATAACTTCAAAAAATGGCGTTTAGAGTAGTTGAGACACTCCTTCGGTTTTGGTCTTTCTTTAGTGTGACTCTTGTATCTCCAGATGCTTAAGAGTATTAGTTTCCGAACCAACAATCAATACATTTTTTTTGAAAATAACTTCTTTGTATAGCTCAAAGAATACCTTCCATTTGTGTGATGTGTCTGAGTAAAACCCCCGGTTAAATTGCCAGCTCATATACTCGTGGTATGCCACACACATTGAAAGATACTAGTAATTTGATGCTTCCTCCAATAGCTCCTCTCATGTTCCCACAAACCGTTAGTTATCAGAAAGCACTAACCAATCTCATACCAATCTTCCTAGACATAGACTTCTTTTTGGAACTAGCTTATACTAGTAGCCTAGGTATAAGCAGGAAAAGGAAGTGGAGGGAAAAGGAAGCTCCACTTCCTTTTCCTCTTCTTTATTGATAACTATTATTACAACTTCCATCACACTATTTTCCGCTCTGGTTTCACCATGGCTCTTCACAATGATCGATTTGGTTTCACACATCTAAACTAATAATTCTAAATTAATAATTGAGTTAATAATCAAGGTAATCTTTGTTTTTTAATAAAAGGAATATAAAATTAGGCATATGCTTATTGTACATTGGAATAAACTAGAATCATCATACTTAATTATAAATTTGGTTTATTTGAATTCTACCAACAAAGACAATCTGAAACGATGATTTAGGGCCTGTTTGGCTCGGTAGTGTACGCAAAAGTATACCACCAAAATAATTTTTCACACTCCACTATATAAATAAAAATGCACACTTTTCAAAAATCCGTTTGGCTCAAATTGAAGAGTAAATACAAATCTATATATTTATAAATGTACTATATAAATAAAACATATTTAAAAAAGCTATATTTGAAAAATATAAAAATTAAAGAATATATGTTTTCGCTAGCCTATCTGTCTTAGTTCCCTAACATTACCTAATAATTTGATCTAACCCTATAATTATAATATTGCCATTATTAAAAAAGAGGAAAAAACGCAATAAAAAGCTTTTGATAATGATTTCAATATTATCTACAATTACAGCCACTGTTTATTATAAATATAATTTCTATAAATATCTATAATATATCTCCAAAATATCTAATATTCAATAGATATACAAATTAATCTTTAAATATCCTAAAAGAATCAAAAATAATCTAGGAATTTCCCAAACTAGGTTTCTATTGTTAAAAGATTGTGACGGAACAGACGGCTCTCTTCCGCCCACTGGCTCATACTACATACATAGTATGATATGACGGCTCTCTTGGACCTTCCTTTCACAGCTTAGAGCCCTAGCTCTATAGCTCTAGACCTAGGCATCTTACGCCTAGGACCCTTTCACCCTTTTTGGCCTAGCCCTTATGGCTCCCAATACCTGTATATATAGTCCTCCTTTTAGCATCCTACATAGCTCTTCACTTGTAGATTCTAAGTACACAATCGGAGTCCTGTTTATACCCTTTTGGTCACAAGTATCATTTTAGTCTTTTTTTCTAGAGAAACCATTACATTATTAAGGTTTTTAATAGAAATCTGAGGTTATCAACTAATACGAATTCTTTATTTTTAGATAGTGTTGATATAGTCGATATTAGTTTTGAAAAAGAGATTTGGAGAGATTTAACAATTATCCCTAATTATAACTATAAATATTGATTTGTAGATAATATGATCAAAAGAGTATAAACAGGATTTTGATTATATATTTAAAATCTATAAATAAAGAATTATATAGGGTACTAAAAGAAAAACTATATATACAAATATTTGGAAATTATAAGAATTAGGCCCAGAAAAGTGAAAGAGTCCTAGAGATAAGCATTATACAATGCCTAGATCTAGAACTATAAAGTTAAGGCTCTAAACTATAAAAGGAAGGTCTAAGAAAGCTGTTATATCATATTATGTATATAGCATAAACCAGTGGGCGGAAGAGAGCCGTCTGTTCTGTTATAGAATCCTTTACATTCTTTATCAATACAATTGGTAGTGGAAGAGGCAGAGGATAAGGATAATATAACAAAGACCTATCTAAAGGTTAAGACTGTAACAATAATCAAAAAAAAGATTATAGAAATAGTTGCTTAT